GGATGTCAGAGTGGAGTTTCAGGTATGCCCCACCTTAAGGAGACCACAGAGCAGAACAAGAATTTCCTAAAGGGATTATTTTCCTTCTGCTCTGGGAACACCTTGGGATCATATAGAATGAGTTTTAAGGCCAGTCTAAGTTCTACATAGGGTGCCCAACTGGTTTTATTAATGTGGGTTGTATTAGTGAATCCAATGATCCATAAAATGGGCAATGTGAGCTCAGGCCCACCTTGAAATAATCCAACCCATATGAGTCCCATACTGATGTCTTGGCTGGGCACATGCCAGGCAGTTGCACTATAGAACTACATGGCCACACACAAACCCAAAAAACAATGGCATACTAAATGCTAAGTGACTTTAACATTGGATGCTTCAGGAACTGCCTGATAACACTGTTACTCCAATCTTGATGCCATCACAAATTACCCCTGGTAGTAGTTATAGACGTCTCAACTTCTTTTGAGTCGTTCTTAAATACTTTATTTTGGTAAAATTGTTTGACTGGGTTCAATGGTCAGCCACTGCCACATGTACTTTATGTGATGTCTTTTCTTCTGAACTTTCATTTCCTAGTTGATTCATAAATATGACAAATAAATTCAAAGCAACACACAAGCCAATTCACTTAAAGTACTGGCAATCTATCAAGGATGGAACAGTGCAGATTGTAATATAGGCTAAACTTTCCCATGTGGAGCACTTGAAGGCTGCAACTGCCAAGATGCCAAGCTCAGAGTCAGCCGACAAGCGTATTAGGTGATTAATTTGGATGATTGTTCTCATCATAACCACCCATATGTGTAATTAACCTCACTGTACCCACAGCAGCTTGTGCTTAAATCTAATAACTGGCCTGTAGAGATGGACAACCGCAGAACCCAAGCAGAGCACTTCCTCCCTTCTCTCCCTGTCTCTCACATAATCAGTTGCATCCTGCTGCCTCTTGGAGGAAAGAATGTGACACAAAATATAAAAGCACCCATAAGCTGCTGTGTGACTTATTTCAGGTAAACTGTTGGGTTGTAATTCAAAAAATAAAAGATAAAAATTATATCGTAGTTTTTATATCCTAAATATAAACTTATATGTTTAGGATATAAAAACAACAGAAAAAAACCCTCTCTAATTTAAAGCTATCTTCTTGTTCTTATAGAAAACAAAAATCCAGAGGTGAAGGTGCAAAGAGTAAGAGGAAATGGCTTGTGTGCTTCATTCAAATGGGATGTAATGTTGATGTTTCGAGACAATTCAGAGAAAACAGTCCACCTCTGATGTGTGTTAATCTGATTAAGAGGACAATTTATTTGGGTTTCCGTGCTCAATAGAAGCCCTTCCTGCTCAGCGCATGGCCTGCCAATGGAGTAGACGAATCCAACCTCGACGAATTGCCAACAGCTGTGTATATTGAATGAGTATATTTCCCCTTGAACAAGAGAAAAAAAAGAGAACACACTGTTTTACTGACACATTTAGCCAGTACTCTTGCAGAAAACACATATGTACTTGAAGTTAGACTACTTAAAATACATACATCACAGGACATATAGAAAACAACTATAAATGATTTTCTATTAAAATGTTTTAGAAATTGTAAAAGCACATTATTTCTAATTCCAAATTTCTTCTGTCTTTGTTAACAACTGAGTCATCAAGCAAATAGTAATTTCTTACCCAAAATACAGTTTTCAAATTTTCTTTATTTTAATAAGGGAAGAAATTTATTCAATCCAATCTGGCCTTAGGTAAAAAAAAGTATTTGACCACATTGTAAAATCATGAACTAACTGGGTTTCTGGAAAAGTAAGTTTAATTTCACCAGCCACATCCAGGCCTGATTACTACCAGACACGTAGAATCAAGAATTTACTTGAATACAACCTGTCTGACAACATGAAGCTGGCTAAAAGATCTAAAAGAGCAACACATCATCCCCTAATCTAAAGTGAGTGGACTTATATCCAATTGAGATGCTGTGACATGACCTTGATCATTTTGTTCATAAACCCTCTACTGTGGCTGAAATCAAACAATACTGCAAATACGACTGGGCCAATATTTCCCCAGTCATGTCAAACACTCATTGATGGTTATCCTAATGGCAGATGTTGCCATCAAGGACTGCCCAGCCAGTTATTAGGGTTAAGTGGTAAATATTTTTTCACATCATTCGCAAACTGCAATTTTTGTTTACTTAGGTTGTCTTTGTCTAATATAAAATGTATCTTGATGATCTAAAATATTTAGGTGCGACGAAAAACAAACCAAAAATAGAATAAATCTGTAAGGAGTACATTCTTTTTGACAGCCCTGACAGCTTTCCTAAATGATAATTCAGAAAAACAAGATTTTTCTTTTTTGTAATATTTTCAGCAACTTTATACGAATGTATCTAGCTGAGATCCTAATTTAGTTTAATTCAGTATGCATGGGTCTCAGCAGTGCAATGTTTGGAACCAATACATTATGTTTGTGTGATAATTTGCGATGCTGCCGATCATGGGCCAGGAGTGGAACATTTCATAAATTACATCCGTGCAATTTCTGCATGTAAAAACCTCACACCTACATTGTTCACTTCATCCACCAACAGTTGTTTTATTGTACAGAATCAAACTACAATCTAATTGTTTTGCAAATTAACAAAATAAAATAATTTGCAAAATAGGAAGCTGAGTTTTACTGCCACAGGTTTCAAGTTGGGAAACGTAAAGCTGTCATGTTGGTAGTAAAAATGTCTCCTCCAAACTGACGGGTCTCAAAGCTCAGTTCATGAACCTGTCTGGAGATTACGTGCATGGCTGAGGCACTGTGTCGAACAACTTTGGCCGTCTCAGGAATGGAAACAGTTTAACTCATTCTTGATTTAGGGATGATATAAACATTTCTCTAAAACAACAGTCAGACACAGATAACTCAGTTGCTCCTTATTTGGCTTTGCCTTGGAACCCCTCTCGCTTTCCCATGACATTCCATGAGAATTTGCTCATTATGCAAAGTAAAAATGCAACAATATTGTCAAAGGATAACAAACAGTTTGTGTTTGGATTCCCATTTAGACCTAAAACCCCAGCTCCGCATCCAAGATTCCAAAACGGCTGCGTCAGTGTAACCATAGTGCTGCAATTTGGATAAACGGCAAAGATGAAAGCCGAATTTCGTTTTTACATGCCCTCTAGACTGCTTGCACATTTTTCTTAAAGCACCGATGTCTGGGTGTGTAATTACACACTAAACGCTTTTTTGTTGTTTTTTTCAAGGAAATGTGTGTCACTGCACAAACATTGCGTCAGGCACGCCCCAGCTTTAGAGTCCCAGCTCAGACGCTACTAATGACGACCGTGGCAGTACAATAACCAATGTTTTGTATCAGGGATTCTTAACCTTTCATATCTTTATGATAACCTTGCATTGGATTTGTAATATGTTTAGATTATAAAGTGAAGCTATTTAATTAGTGATCAAAGTTTTTACTTTTTAAACAATACATAACAGTGAAATATAGTTTCACCTTACTATTTTTATTATGCTTAGATTTTATTTTTAGCATCAAATCAATCAATTAAAAGTATATTTTTACAGTTAAAATTACAACTATCTCAAACCAGCTGTAATGCTTAGATTTGTCTCAATACTACTAATAGCACAAAGTCTTTTGATTAATATTTTCATAAAGTCATAGGTCCAGATTAGGATCTACAATAAAATTTTACTACCTCTGAGCCGTGGCGTTTCTTTGGTGCATAGGTTTGCAGTCTGTCGATCCAGAGTCGCATGTGGCGCTTCAGTTGCTTCAAATTGGCTCTTGATAACTGTGACCAAAATCAACTTTTAAAAAAGTTATGTTTTTATAAACGAAAGCAAGGGAAACAATAGTTTAAGCATTTTTTTCTGTTTTATATAACATAAAATTTTCACAACAGAATGAGACTAGAAGAAATGTTTCATTTTCTGCCCTTTTATGTTATTCATCTGCAAACTTTGAGCTTTATTTTTAAATGAGCTACTTTTTGAAAAAAACACTTACTCAGAAACCACTTTCAAGATTAAAATCTTGCTTAAAATAACTGATACTTATAGCAACATATTTTGATCAACTATGAGAGGAAAAGGTCAGAAAGCCAGAACGGCAATAAAAAATTAACTACCACCAAGTTGAGCTGTGGAATTCCTCTAGTGCAGAGGGCTCCAAGCTCTTGCTCCAGAACCGCATGTGGCTCTTCAATCCCTACAAGGTGATCCTCAATAACTTTGACCAGAAAAATTAGAAGAAAATAAGACATGTTCTTAAATCTAAAGGCAATATGAAATGCAATTTTTATCTATACTTTAGGTTTTGTAATATCCCTGCAATCAAATCAGTTTTTACTGCCCCCTACAACTACATGTTGTTTAGGTCTTAATATAAGCAATGAAAAAGGCACTATGTGATTATTTAAGCAGATTTTGTTGTATTAATTTTCTAATTCTCCCAATATAAAGTATTGTCGGGTAATAGCAGTTTATCTAAAACTTCAATATATTACTTCAGCCAGTTTTTGTGAGATCTAGTTTTTGTCCCACCCTGATTGAGGTCAGATTCGGTTGTGTTTGTGGTTCTGCCTCCTTTACATCTTTCTTGACCTCATTACTTTATCCAATAGAGAGGAAGGAATTGAGCTGAAAAAATGACCTCTTTTGTCCTTAGAGTCAGGTGTGCGGACCAACAAAGGGCCGAATAATGTGGAGTTGGACCCTTGTGCTGAAATCGGAAGAATCGCTGTTCGTCTTTTTTAACCGTGATTTTTTTACTTTTTAACTCAAGGTTTTTACACATTTTACATTTTAACTGCATCTGGGAACATTTTTACATGAAACAGTTAATGAAAAGACATGTGGGCTGCTTAGAGAGGCAAATTAAGTCGTGTATGCGGCCGTGAAGACATGTATGAAACCTTTGGGACAGGTCTGTTGTCGTCACAGACATTTCAAAAGGTGTTTCCGTGAAGGTGTTGTAGGTTTCCGTAGTGTAGTGGTTATCACGTTCCCCTCACATGTGGGGGCCAGCTGCACATAGATGTAGATCACTGATTGCCGGTAAAACTGTGTCCGCTGTCTGACGCGGGTTTGAATCCCGGTCATGGCAGGAACTGAAATGTAGTTTTTATACAATAAATATGTCTTATTTTTAGATAGAAATTGAAAGAATATCATTAAATAAATACTTACTCTTGGATCCAATGTTTTGAAAGTTTTTGTATTGAATTATAATTATAATGTACCTTTGTTGTGAATTAGTGCTAAGTCAAAAAACCAAATTAAAGTTTGTATTATAAAAAGCATTAAGAATAAATCCTTTGACGAATCATATACATATGCACAATATTTTACTTAAATGAGAAAACAGCTATAAGAAAATAGTTTGGTTTCAGTTCAATTATGTTTATTTAAAAGGTCACAGCAAGAAATACAAATCACAGCAACTTGTACTGCATGTTTTAAAATACTTTTTTGATAGTAAAAGGTAATAACAATTTCTATATAGAAATACACAGGAAAAAAGTAAAGCATGTAAAGAACACGGTGTTATGTAAAGGGCTGAATATTTGCAGTATGTACATGGAACATAGAGCACTGGCTGTCTGATCAGCTAGCCATTACTTGCCCTTTTCCACGGCCCATCTCCTCTTCTCAGCCTCATAAAAAGAAGACTGACAGAACTCTGCCCATGTCATTTCCCTGGTCATCCCCTCAGCCTGGTACAGAGAAAAAAACCTTAGCAGGACAATAAATATATTTTCCTGCCACACCAGGAAAACCTGTGTGGATGTGTGGACTGTTTGGTCCTTGTTTGAGAGGCCTGTGGCAGAATCTGCACAGCCGCCCAGTGGGATGTTCCTCCTTAGCCTTTCTTGTTTCTCGTTCCTTCCTAACCTGCTTTGAGGCTGTGGAGCGCTGCTTAGCAGCTTCAAGCTCTCTCCTGAAAAACGGAGTGCAGGCAAAATCAACAAATGGCATTCTTGGATTTGCCAGGCCCTCTGCTGCATAGGTCTGATAGACTTTAGTGGAACAGTAAAAGTATTTCACGTCTCTTGATTGATAAAAAAAAATGAATACTGGATCCATCCCCCAGGAAACGTGACTCTGGCTGGCCACAAGCCAAACAGTTCTTTTTTTTTGCAGGTGATTGTTGCAGATCCTGCTGCTTTTGAACAATGTCTTTGACAATTTTCTCAAATTCTGATACTGTCAAAGGGGCATCCAGTGGTTTATTGCTGGGTGGGTTAACAGTGGCAGGTGGAATAGTTACCACAGGAACATCTACAGTCTCACTTCCTTCAGTGAGATGATGCCACAGCTGTTGGGTCTCCAAAAGCTTCTCTGTACTAGTGTTTAGTGATGAGCTGGTGTTTGTCATCTTAGCCAGGTGCTTCACATAGCGAGATATATGCTGTTTAGTGGTAGGGTGCAGGAGGCTGTTTGGATCCCTGGATGCAGCCTGAACAACAACAGCATACTCTGCATCAACTTTGGCAAGAAAGTCTTTTTGCCCATGATGCTTTGCCATGAGTTGGTCAATAGCATCTCTCATTTGCTGTGTCCACCTAGAATGGTCCAGGACATACAGCAGACCACCAGCCTTGACAGGACCTGTGCGAGCAGCACGTGGAGAGGGTGCAAAAGGCAGTGCTAGTACCACTGGGACATCTGATTGAGAGAAAGAAAACAAAGTAGTAGTAAATTCACTATTTTCCATTTGAGTGTATCAACCTATTAAACATAGAAAGATGAAAGGTGAAGTGACTTACCTTTCTTTGGGCAGGGTTGGACTGTCATCTGTGTGCTGAGAGCACATGCATGAGCACTGTGGCCATGAAATGAGTAATTAAGTTGGTTCATGATAAGTATTTAAATACTATTAAATTATTTAAAATGTGTCATCTAATAAAAAGCAAACATAAAGCTTACCTGAGCCTAGAGCTCTATCTTCACTTCCTCAGGTAGGTGAGGCTGTCACACAGGGAGGGCTTTGCTCAGAGTGGTGAGGGTCTGGGATTTTCTGTGACCTATGCTTATTCCAGTCTAGAGGGACAGGACAACAACTGGGCTCCAAATACTGCAGTCCAAACCTTTCTCCCGAAACTGACTTGAATTTTCCAAGGGAAGATCAGCTTCCTTTTCATTGTAAACAGTGAAAAAAGACCAAAATTTGTAATGTATAATATGGTTTTAAAATATATAAATTATCTAATACAGGAACGTCAATACACTGCATACACACTTATAAACTCGCTGACTGCTTTCCGTTTAGAAACGGAAGAAACAGCACCCCCAGAATTACGCTAGTGGGCAAAAGGTGTATTGCATCCGTAGTGTTAAGAACTACCATAGGAAATGAATGGGAAAAGTTAAGAGAGTTAAGCTTAACCATTCGCGGTTCACGCGCGGGGGGGGTAGTAACCTCTCTGTTTTGTTTGTGCTTTTTTCTGACACAAGTATCAGAGCCCTTCTTCCTCCATAGCCGTTAATATCCCTAAAGGGCCTTTCAGGCAGGACGCGGTTTGCACTGTGCTTGCCGCTGGGTTTATTGCATCTGCGCTGCGTGCCGCTAAGCCTGTGAGGTCTGAGTGCTTCTGCAACCAAGATCTGACCTGACCCTTTGGAAAATGTGGTCATGTGACGTGGTAGTCTGGAAGGGGCGGGGCAGGGGGCGGATTTGCTGGGAGGGGCTTGGAACCCGATCATAACTGCTTGCAGTTCTAGTTGTTGATTAGAATCATTCATAATTGCTGATAGTTAAACCAACCACTGTTACCCAACTGAGATCTGATTGGCACTAATTTGTCAGCCTGACTCACAATTTAAAATTGTAACTTTATTTAGAATTTTGTTGATAATTATTAAACAGTAATTATAATTATTAGAAGTTGCTAAAAGCCAAACAAAGCATATAGTTGCACAACAGTCAAGAAATATTTCACAGCAAAAAAGGCTCTTACTTTTCTCTCTTCTCTTTTCTGCCTTAACTATTTTACACAGATAATACATTTACTGGAAAAAATTACATTATCATATTCTAGCATTTTAATTAAATTGTAAATTGTTAAATCTGTTCAAATAAAACCACCATTGCAGGCCCTTGTGTGATGCTGAAGATTGAAAACTGAACCCCACTTCTGTAAGTATAGACAAGAGCTTTAAGATACCAAACTGCTTCCAAGTTTTATTTCAAAAAAGCCAACTGGGAACTTCATAAACAGTTTAGTGTTTTCAAACAAACCAAACGGTTTAAAATAGTCTGCATATCCCAGGTGCAACAAAACCCCAAGCATTTCAGGACAAGTTGTGACTGTCACCAGTTGATTTGGGTGTTTCCTACAAGGACCAACAGGTGTACACACAGCCACATTTAAAGGGAGGACTGAGCAATACTGATAAAGCACATAACTTCCAATCAGCAGGTATTGTGCTATTGGTTTTGCACATATAGGCTGTGTCAAAGCATAGCAACCTGTATCATGCACAGAGGCCTCAAGTCTTAACTGAAATATATGAACTTTCATGTATTCACACTCACACACCCAATGCCACACATGACATTTCCCAAGCACTAAATTAATAGGATGTCTGTATGAGTCTGATTTTAATCTGCTGTACAGCCACACAGTGAAGACTGGGTGCCACCCCTGAAGTCTCATTGGTCACTGAAGGTGCCCTTTTCAGATTTGATAGATAGTTTATTTTATCAATCCAAACATTAACCAAAGGAACTCCTAACAATCAAGAATACAGTTCAGTAGTTTTGCTAATCTAAGGCCTGTTAAAAATCTTAAACTCTTATATTAATTCCTACCTGAATCTTTTGAGACCTGATTTCAGGTCAGTCAGGATATTGCTATATTGATCTGAGATACAAAGCAGTGGCGTGGTTAGTCCCACTGATAGATCTTAAGAAGATATTGTGCAATAACTCGGACATATACAGTACTGTGAAAAAGTTTTAGGCAGGTGTAAAAAATGCTGTAAACAAAGAATGCTTTCAAAAATGGAAGTGTTATTGATTTATTTTCATCAATCAACCACATGCAGTGAATGAACAAAAGAGAAATCTAAATCAAATCCATATTTGGTGTGACCACCCTTTGCCCTCAAGACAGCATCAATTCTTCTAGGTCCACTTGCACAGTTTTTGAAGGAACAAGGCTGGTAGGTTGTTCCAAACATCTTGGAGAACTAACCACAGATCTTCTGTAGGCTTTGTCACATTCTTCTGTTTCTTCATGTAATCCCAGACACACTCCATGATGTTGAGATCAGGGCTCTGTGGGGGCCATACCATCACTTCCAGTAAGTCTTGTTCTTGTCAGGTCTCTGTGTTGGTGTGCAGTTTGTGTGTGTGTGTTTCTTTTCACCCTCAGCTCTAGAGCGTTCCCTGGCAGGGGCTGCTGATCAGAGCCTAATTACTGGGCTTCTTAAGGAGCTGAGACTAGGAGGGAGACGTCAGCCCGTCGCTTCATTTTGAGTGGTAACTGACCGTGGTGTGCAGTGCTTTAGCATACATTTAACCTGAGTGTCATTGTTTTTTTTTTTTTGTCTTTTTCTCCCTAGACCTTGCCTGTTGGTTTTTTACGGCTCCTGGTCCTGTGACCTGGTTCTGAGTGAGCTTCAAGGTTTGTTCCTCGTCTCCTACTGTGAGTCCCCCTGCCTCTTCAGCTTCAGGCCCCGGCTCGGGAAAGACCTTTACGGAGAACCATTCTCCTGTTGTCACCTGCCTGTCCACCCTCCTACGTGGGAATGCTCAAACTGAGACCTCAAGCTATACAAGAGAACTAAGGGAAAAAAACTGCTGCTGACTGCACACATCCTGCCAACCTCCTTCACAGAGGAAGGACTTACCTCCCCAGCGAAACCACTATCATTCTGGCTGTAAGTCCCTATATAAATCCTCCAGAAAAAAACACCTTCCAATACTCCTGGGACATCAATAACCCTGTCACCTTCCTTTCCAGAGAAGAACCAGTCCCTTGCTGTCGTTGTCTGGATTCCTGTCTTGCCTCCGTTCATTCACTTCACAAAATAAATCTGTTAAAACGCTACCCTGAATTTGTAGTTGTGTTCTCCTCAGAGTTAAAAGAAACGCTGCATTATGAC